TCGTGGACCGGCTGTTCCGGGACACGATTGAGCCCGCGGTGAGGGGCGCCACGCCCCACCTCAGCTCCTTCTGCTTCACCAAGATCGACATGGGGGACAAGGTTAGTTATACCGGCAATTATTTAACATGAAATTTAACATGACATAAAACATAACATAACATTTAACATAAAAATCGGCTCTAAAGCCTGATTTTTATCACTTTTGCTTAAAAAATCTTAAAAATGTTTTGATTAACCACAAATTTTTCATTTCAGATTGTTCATAATGATCTCAAATCAGGAGTTAAATCACTATTTCAGGTTGTTATTTTAGAGAGAAATGCTAAAAAATGGGCTCTAAAGCCTGTTTTTTTAAATCGCTTTTGCATAAAAAAATTTGTTTTTAAACTAATTTTTGATTAACCACAGATTTCTTATTTCAGATTGGTCAGAATGATCTCAATTCAGGAGTTAAATGACTTTTTTAGGTTCTTATTAAAGAGAGAATTGTTAAAAATGGGCTCTAAAGCCAGATTTTTCTCACTTTTACATAAAAAAACTTAAAGAAAATGTATTAACCAAAGATTTTTCAGTACAGATTGTTCAGAATGAATGAATATTTTAGGTTCTTAATTTAGAGAAATGTACAACATTTGGGCTCTGAAGCCTGATTTTTATCACCTTTGTTTAAAAAACCTTTAAAAAAAAAAAAAAAAAACTAATTTTTCATTAACCAAATATTTCTTATTTCAGATTGTTCAGAATTATCTCAAAGCAGGAGTTAAGTTACTATTTTAGGAGATTAAAAACTATTCATAAATGAAAAAAGTAAGTTAATCAAAAGAATAACACAGGAAGAATAAAAATAGATAAATAAAATAATAATAATAATAGTTTTATTTTGAAAAATGAATAAATGGTACAAAGAAAAATGTGACGGGATCTTTCAGATATTTTTGTTTAAGGTTTCTCAGAAAATACCAATAAGAGGCGCCATTTTTATTAAAATAGTGCCTGATCTTCTCTGGTTTAGCTGCTTTCTTCTTCGTTGGTTTTTTGGTTTTTAACGTCTGTGTCCCTGCAGCCTCTGAGGGTGAACGGGGTCAAAGTTTACACCGAGAACGTGGACAAGAGGCAGGTCATCATGGACCTGCAGATCAGGTAAAGACTCAGAAACCCATTTTTATTAACCACAGAACAATTCTCACCTTAGATCAGTCAGAATTATCTCAAAGCAGGAGTTAAGTTACTATTTTAAGTCGTTCCTTAAGAGGTGATGTTAGAAATTGGCTTAAAACCCAAATTTTTCTCACTTTTACAGAAAAAAACCTTAACATTTTTTGATTCATCATATATTTCTTATTTCAGATTGAGCAGAATTATCTCAAAGCAAGAGTTAAATTAATATTTTAAGTCGTTCTTTAAGAGAGAAACGCTAAAAATGGCTTTTAAAGCCTGATTTTTCTCACTTTTACATAAAAAATTCAAAAAACAAAAACACATTTTTTATTAACCCCAGATTTTTCAT